GAACCTTAAAGCATAGGAAGGGGACTTTCATGTTTAGCCAGGTTCCGTGGTAGGTGTTGAGGCCATAAATGGAGGCTTTTGAGTCTGGCTTGTGGTGGGATAGACTCAAGAATTCCCAGATCTTTGCTTTCAAACTCACATATAAGGCAGTCTTGTTAGATCTAAACATCAACTTTATGGCCCTGTTTCTACTTTCTCACTCCTACTACTCACCTGTCCACATGCCTTCCTCTTTACTCTTCCACTGTGTGATTTAACCCATACAACTGTTGTCAGACATTCGGTCCTGCTAGCTGGACCCTGTCTGGTGGCCTGAGTGTTTCATGCTCCTTGTTTGTCAGATTCAGCAAACTCAGAGCAGACCATGAGAGAACAGTGTTTACTTAGATGCTTGTAAGCTTGTGTCCAGTCCTCTACAAATTCCTGGTTCTCAGCCTTTGCTGAGTTCTCAGTGCCACGAGGATATCCACCTGACCCCTGATTTTGCTCTCCTGCTCCCCAAAGTACTTGGCTTTGTGCTTTGCTGTATCTTTAGGTCACCAAAGTTTCTACAGTGGGTCACAGAGCAAACAGAAGCTATGAGAGGGGTGAACGTTCTTGTGGATTCTGTACCCCACTCTGGCTATCCACCTTCCTCTGTATCTCAGCTGGCATTCACCCTGTCAGCCTCTTTCCCACCATGTGGGATAGATTACCATCTTCAATATTAGGCTAATTCTTCTCAACCCTACAGATCCATCCCTTCCAACTATCATTTCAAACAACAATCTTTTCTCTTCTAGAATCTTCAAACTCCTTCCCTTCTGGTTCCTACCAGTTTTCAAACATACTCATCAGCTTTCACCCACAAATTGCTGCCCTAATGCTTTCCTAACTACTTGGTGTTTCCCACTTCAGTCATATTTCATAATACCTGGAGCTTCGTGTTATTACTACTTCCCAAGATAACAAAAACCATGAGGTGAATGTACTAAGTGACCAAGCGTCATTTGACTACAATAAACCAATACTTACTTAGGTGAGTGTTGGAGTTTGTCTATGCAATGCCCCTCAAAGGCTGAGGTATTGAAGGCTTGCTCCCCAGGTATGCCTTTACAAGTTTAGCTTTATTCTCTGCCTACATTTCTCTTTCTCTGATTCCTGAATACCATGATGGGAGTCCATTTGCTTCATTAACTCTCAGTAATAATCTTCTGCCTTAACACAAACCAACTAAAGCAAATGACTGTGGATGGGAGCCTTTGAAACTGTGAGCCAAGCGGGGTTGTTGCTATGACCATAACTGACTATGTGGCTCAGGAGATCTTGGAATTGGTTTATGGGAGGAATTTGGAAAGTCTTGGAGACGTAAGCTCTCAAAGCCAATCAAGTGTGAGTGGGGCTGAATGGGCAGGTTGACTCTAAGCCCATAAGAAGAGAACACTGGCAACACGGTTGAGAATAAAAGACAATATTTTGGAGGTTTTTAATAGAAATGTTGACTTAGATCATGTCTTAGTCACTGTCATTGCTGTGCAGAGACACCATGGCCAAGGTGACGCTTATTCAAGCAAACATTTAACTGGGGGCTGGATTACACTTTTAGAGGTTTAGTCTAGGATCATGATGGTGGGGAGCATGGTGGCACACAGGCAGGTGCTGGAGCAATAACTTGGAGCTACATTTGGATCTATGGAATGAGAGAGGGGGGAGGGAGAGGGAGGGAGGGGGAGGGAGGGAGGGAGAGAGAGAGAGAGAGAGAGAGACTGGGCCTGGCATGGGCTTTTGAAACCTCAAAGCCCACTCCCAGTGATATACTTCCTCCAAGATGGCCACACTTATTCCAAGAAGGCCACACTTCAAAACCCTCTGAATCCTTTCAAAGAATTCCACTCTCTGGTGACTAAGCAACCAAATATATGAGTCAATGGGTGTGTGTGTGTGTGTGTGTGTGTATGTGTGTGTGATTCTTATTCAAACTATCACAGATCAGGAGCTGGACTCGAGGCTATGTGTAATATATTCTAGCAAAGAACCTATCTACATTTTGTCTGGGCCCTGTGACTTTGTGTGAGAAATATTTTAAATTCAGTGGAGTATTCACCTGATTTGGAAAAACAACAAACAAACAAGCAAGCAAACAAACAAACAAACAAGCAAACACCCCCATCATTCTGGCAGTGGCTTGGGTATTACTTGCTGCTTCTTGCAGGTAATATTGAGAAGAAAAATGTAGAAGAGACAGACGTGGAAAACTCACAGGTTGACCAGAATTGGAGCACATTAATGCTGTATCTGAGGAGGGTGTGGTTGTGTCATTGAGAAAGAAGTCAGTAATTTGTACCAGGGCATAAAACATGTCATTAGGGAATCTCAGGAGTTAGCTAGAATATACCCATTGCAGGCTCAAGGGTGTAACTGTATTAGTTCATTTACTCTGAGCAGAGAGCTTGCGCAGGCCACTAAAGAAGTTATTTTCCCGGGACAAATGTCACCACACTTTTCTGTACAGGGACTGAAAGGCTGCTGTATTTGTGGTCTCAGTGGACTGGGCTACTGTTTGACTTGGTAGTAGGCTTGTTGTCATTGGTACTGATGTTGGCTTTGAAGACACAGAATGTAAGAGGTGACTGGTCGTAGAGGATTTCACCTAGAAATAAAAAGTTTTGTGTTGTCAGGCAGTATGTAGCAAAGCCAGATTCCCTGTGCACAGTCCCTGAGAGGGACATGTGTGCAGCCATGAGAGTGAAGCTGAGATTGTAGTGGAGGAGTGAAGTCAGAGATGCCAGAACTCTGGAACAGCTATTGAGGAGAGCTGCAGGCACAAAGCAGAATCAGCCCAAAGGCAAGGTCATTCGATCTGCAGTCAGCAAGTCCACAGTGATGTGTCTACCTAAGCCTTTGTTGCTGATGTTGCATTACTATATGCACTTACTCTGGGTGCTGGACATGGCGTGTCTGAGTTAGAATTTCTATTGCTGTGAAGAAACACCATGACCAAACCAACTTGGGGGAGAAAAGGGTTTATCTGGCTTGCCTTCCATATCACAATTTGTCATCAAGCGAACTCAAACAGGACAGGAATCTGGAAGCAGGAGCTGATGCAGAAGCCATGGAGGGTGCTGCTTACAGGCTTGCTCCTCTTGGCTTGCTGCTTTCTTATAGACCCCAGGATCACAAGCTCAAGGCTGGGCTTTCCCCCTTCAACCACTGATTAAGAAAATGATCTATAGCTGGATCTTATGGAGGCATTTTTCTCAATTGAGGTTCTCCACTTTCAGATAGTTCTAGCTTGTGTCATGTTGACAGCACTAGCCAGCACTTGGGGCTATGGCACTTGATGTTGGCCCTGTTGGGTTTTAGCTTTGGCTCATTCTATCCTTGATATTCGCTTGTTGCTCTCTTTTGGAGTGGGCACGTTTACTCTGTGCTTGTCTCACCACTACATGTTAAATGTACTGTAGCTTGCTTTTTTGATTTTCATAGGGGCTCACATCTAATACTTGCCCTAAGAGTGAGAGATTTTAGATAAGGGCTTTTAAGCAATGAAGAAGCTGATAAGACTTTGGAGTCCTGTGAAGGTCAGCTAAATGTGTTTCCCATGATGCAATGGATATGCGCTCTTGGGAGACAGAGGTGGAAAGTCCTAGCTTGGACTTTCAATGTACCCAAAGCCTTATGTGTTTAAGGCTTGAAGTTCCTGGCTGGTGATGCTATTAGGAGATGCTGGGAACATTAGAAGATGCCGTCTAGCTGGAGGAAGTGGGTCACTGGAGGCATGCTTTGGAGGGTATCACTCATATCCTACCTCTTCTCCCTCTAGCTTCCCTGCAGGCCTGAGTTGGGTAGCTTTGTTCTCCATGCAGTCTCTGCCATAATGTCTCATTTCAACATATGGTGGGAGATGCCAATCAGCCGGGAACTGAACCCTCTGATACTGTGAGCCTGGATAAGCCTTCCTTTTTTCTCTTGCATCCTCTTTTACATAGATATTTTACACAGTGATGGAATGTGACTAACATAGTGAGCTAACACCCAACGAAGGGATGAAGATGCTGAGTACCTTACCCAGAGATACAAATAAGAGTGGGATTTCAACCTGGGCAGTCTAACTTCAAATTAAGTTTCTAGACTTTTCCACAAAGCTTTTTACCATCAGTTATTCTACGACAATTTGAGTCCTACCCTTAGGCCAATGGAGAGTTTTGTGTTGCTACATCTAATAGGAACATCTAGGAATTAATTTCACGGATGGAGTGCCAGACAGCTCTGGCCTCCTTAGTCACTTTTGAACCTTTCTTCAAGGGAAAATTTTGTTGAGAGCCCATTGTCTTGTTTTGCTTTGGTATCTCTGGTCACTTTTTGACCACATTCATGAGGTCTTCTCTGACTTAAGGGAAAGTCACATCATCTTGGGAGGTTACAAGGTCCACTCTTTGCCGTCTTTCTCTCCTGTACATGGTCCCTGTATTTAAAGTCCTTGTTATGACTTCTACACTAGGGCTTCATTTGTTTGGTGTCTCAATACAAACCTTTCTAGAACTCAATCAGTACTTGCCATCAACGCAACTCTTCTCTTTCCCTTTTTGACATAAGACATCAAATGCCCACTCAGCTACCCTTGCTGGAATCTTCATGACATTTACGTCTAGTCAATGGTTAAGTTCTCTTAATAGTCACTACCAACTCACCCCTCCTCTCACCTCTTTGTGCATTCTGTCCCTCCTGGTGCCCTGACATCCCTGTTAATGTCTCTCCTTCCAGCATCATTACCTGCTCGTCTCCCGATTCTAGTCATGGGATTCCCTATAAAGTATTTTTCTTTTAAAATATTGGTTATGGATATTTAAAATATGGTGAAATTATACAGAATGGTAGCACTTGTACTCATTTTCTTAATTCCTGGATTTAACAAACCATATTTTTTTTTCAATTTATGAAAGCTTTAATTTATTCCCTCATCAAAGGCAATCAAAGGGGGTGAAAGGTCAAGATTTTACTGTCTTCATAACAAAATCGGCTTAGAACTGGATCACTTGGCCCTTTCTCTTCTTGTCGCTTCCCAGTTCAAAATGCTTACACCTCTTAATAGCCAGCATCCTCTTAGATCTGCAGTTGGGCTCGACACACTCCAGTCGCAGCACGATTTTCTTTGTAGTTTTAGCCTTTTTGCGGAAAATAGGCTTAGTCTGACCACCATAGCTACTCTGTTTCCTGTCATAACGCCGCTTTCCCTGGGCATACAAAGAATCCTTGCCCTTCTTGTACTGGGTCACCTTGTGGGGTTGGTACTTCCCACATTTCTTGCAGAATGTCCATCGAGTCTTATGAACGTTCACCATGTTGGCAGGAGCGCTATCAGCCAACAAACCATATTTAGATTAACTAGTTATAAGAAAAAATGCTACAGAGAGTTAGAGAGAAGGACAATCCATCCTCCCCATTTTTCTACCCTAGAGGTAATTATCAAACTGTAACTGATGCATGACCTTTCTTTCTATGTTTTAATTTTATATGTAAATTTATATTCATGAATGGGTTATTGTTTTGAATTCTTAAAACTTCCATAGATCTTATTGTACCGTGCTTGTAATTCTGAAAAATTTTAATGTCTATGGCATCTATGAAATTTACTCGTGTCAATACCGAGATCATCATCTACCCATTCAAACTGCTGGGATGAGCTGCAGCCCCACCCAAAACTTTCTCTACCCATTTCCCCATCCTCACGTCTGTCTAGATTTTTCCATTTACAAAAAGCACTGTGGTGTCCATCCGTATCCACAGGTATTCATGAGTTATATGTTTTTCCCTCCAAGAGTCAGGCCTGAAATGACAGCACTGAGCATTGTGGAGGCTGACATCTACCCTACCCTGTTCAAAAATCTTAGAGGAGGCAGGCAGGTTAGGAGCAGAGTACTTACTTCTCACAGTTGTGGGGACCAGGCTCAAAGTGCTGTCAGACCCAGGAGGTCTGCTCCCTCACACAGAGGCTTTACCCATCCTAACATCACATGCCAGGAGCATTGAATGTGACACTTTTCCTGGGAAGACATGACACACACATCTACTCGTTCCAGATAGGAAACTTGTGACAAGCCAAAGTAACGATTCTACTGACATGCACCTTGCTGAACCAATGAGTTTTTATTAGGGTTACTTAGAGGAGCAGGCATGACTCAAAGCAGCTGCATCTCTGAAAGGGTCACCTCAGGTAATGACTCACACACGCCTAACCCGGGAGCTCTCTGCACAGCTTGCAGACAGCTCAATGGGTCTGAGAATCTCCTCTGGGCAACTCAGCTGGCCAGACATATCTCTCAGCCGTTCCTCACTGATTCTATAACCTGTTTTCCTAGACCTGTGACTTTGTTTACATCCTAAGTTTCAGGAGTACCTTTCCTTCCTGGACGGAATGTTTCAATTCTGTGGTAATTTCTATACAACTTCAATGCACAGCCATCTTTCAAAGAACCCATTCCTCTTCCTTTATTCTTGATGGTTGGATTTTAACATTGAGTCTGGGGAACATACATATTCTGATCATAATAGCATCTTTACACATAGATGCCCACAGTTCTTTCTTGCCATACTGAGTTATACATACATTTATATCTTTACCAGGAGTGTAATAAAATTTCCATTCTCTTATATCATGACCTCAGTATCTAGACATTTGAAATATGAACAATGAGAAGCAGCATGCCATTGTTTAAGTGTGTGTTTCCCTAACTGCTAGTGTTTTTGAGGGTTGTTGTTAATGATGTTTTATTTAGATCGCTAGTTTCAATCTCTTGTGCATTTTTATATCATTTGTTACATTTGCTTGTGTTTTAAAGTTAGTTTTTAGCTGTTTTATCCTTTATGGGCATCAATCCTTTATTGCTCATGGGCTTTCCCTTCACTTATGGGATCATCTCTTCCCCAGAGTTGATTCTACTGTGTTACGTCTATCTTTACCATTTGATGTGTGTGAGTGTGTGTGTGTGTGTGTGTGTGTGTGTGTGTGTGTGCCTTATTTAAACATCTCACTCTTTGGTTTTGATTTTGTCTGTTTTTTGAGATATCGTCTCTCATGTTGTCCAGGCTGACCCTGAACTTACTTTATTGTCAAGAATGATCTTGAACTCTTGGTTCTCCTATGCCTACGTCTCAGGTGCTGAGATTATAGGTGTGTACAACCATATGGAGGCTACAGTCCATTCTCTGAGTATTATAGAGTTGTTTTGTTACATGTTTTTAAGAATATTTTTTATATTACTCTTTTATTTTTAAAATTCACTTAGGTTCTTTATATGAAACTCATGTGTGTAAGTGGTATGGAAGTGGGATTTAACTTTCCTTCAGTTTTCATGTAGATAGCCAGTTGTACAACACCATTTATTGACCAAACAATTTCTCCATAGACCTGTAATGGAGAGTCTTTCCTATGCCGCATTCTTTTACACAGTCATAAACTTTTGAGATGTGTGTTCTCTTCCTTTGGTTTAACTGTTCATCCTTCTATTAGAATAGCATGCTTTAGCTGGTAAAGCTTTGGAATGATTCTCTTTTAAAACCCGAGGCATAGTTAGCATATTCACAAAGTTCTTCCTTTCAAAAGGTGCTCCTTAGGTTTGACTGAACTGTTGCCCACAGGCTCATGTGCTGATGCTTGGCCCCAGCTGCTGGCACTGTTCTAGGAGATCGTGGAAACATTAGGATCTGGGGCCTCTCTGGAGGAAGTAGGTCACTGACGTGGGTGTTTAGGGAGATAGGTCCTTACATCCTTGGTCATTCCCAGTCTCATAGTTTGTTTCCTGACCCACCAACATGTGAACAGAGCTCTTCCACCATGCTTCCCCCACCCTGTTCACCCATGGTGGATCAGTCTCTCTGGAGTTAATACTTTCTCCCTTAAACTGTGTCTGTCAAGTACACTTGTCACAATAGTACAAGAGTAACGGACACAGTGCTGTTTTACTTTTGGTATGGTTGCAGAGTTGGGCAAATATCACCCTTTTCCTGTCCCACCAAAGAAATTCTAAAATCTATAACTATCATGATTATTTTCCCCTCCATCCCAAGCCCCAGAAAAACTCCATCTACTGACTTCCTGTGTTTGCCTATTCTGGAACATTCTTTTGGATGCAGTGCAACATTTCCAAGGTTCATCTCTATGACTTTATACTATTCAGTTGTGCGGATACACTACAATTGGTTTATTCATACATTAGCTAAGATGCTTGGGCTTTTCTACTTTGGGACTTGGATTAGTTACTTTTATCATTGTTAGAAAATACTTGACTGAAAACAGCATAAAGGAGGTAAGATGTATTTTAACTCACGGTTTCCAGGGGATTTCAATCTATGATGGTGGGAAGGCGTGGAGGATCTCAAGGTGAGAAAGGCCTGGAGGAGTTTACAGAAGCAGGAAATTGTGGCAGGCTCCTCAGGAGCATCAGATGAAGCCAGCCAGGAGCACAAGGAACTATAGGTTTGAAAAGGCTCCCTCTAGTGACACTCTTCTGCCAACCAGGTGATCGCCACCTAAAGGCCTCAAAATAGTGTCTCAAGGTCAGGGCCAAGCATTTAAAATGATGAGCCTGGTGTGTGTATGGACATTTCGGAATGAAGCCCAAACAGGGCTCTACTGAACAATAGTGCTGAGATCTCTTACCTGCAGAATTTGGCATGAGCACATTTTAAATCTTCTGGCTGTGTATGTAGGTGTGGAATTGTTGAGTCTTAGAGTACCTCTTCTTAATTTATTTAGGAGACACTTTTAATTCTCCCGACCAGTACACAATGGCTGAATGGTTCTAGTATTGGCACACCATTGTCAAACTAATTACTTTCCATGAAAAATATACTGTCTTCATGAAGTCTATACTTTAGGCATGGATAGCTTGCAGCCTATGAGGTAGAAATTCTCATGGAATCAATGGAAAATGCCATTTGGATAGAAAGAGCATAGAGGGAGGATGGCATGGAAGAATGAGGAGGGGGCGGGGCTTGGCTTGTAAGCAGGACGTAGAATGTGTGTGAGCAAATGGTTTGGTATAGTATATGAGCTGACTAGGTATCTCTACTGACCCATCCTCAGAGAGAAATGACCTGGACATTATAACAGCCACTTTGTGTTCTGTAGGAGGTGCTCTGGTGTCTTCTGATGTTTCACCTTGCAGCCTCTAGGTGGCGTGCCTAATTACAGCCTCTGCTGCTGCAGAAAGAAGCTATTTTCACAAAATAGACCCCAGAGTTAGCAAAGGATAGAGGTCCCTTGGGGGCTAAAGAGCAGTTCTCAGGATACAGGAAGAGGCGCTTAAGTCTGTGTTATAATAATTAAAAACGGATTCCAAGAAAGCAGAACAGATCTTGCCGCTTCAACGACATTATGGGAGATTAAACAGCAAAAGAAAGTCATCCAGTAAATTCTCTTTCTCTTGGCTCACATTTTCTGTTTCTTCTGTGTGAGAATCTGTCCTAGGGCTGAACACATACAGAAGTCAACATAGCTAAGCTTCTTCCTGGAGTCTAGTTAAAGGAGATAAGGAGCAAGCCAACAGAAATGCTCAACGACAGCAGACAGAGATGTGATGAGGGCTTGTTAGTGAGTGTGGTCCCTGCAGCAGAGCTAGACAGATGTCCATTGCCCCACTGAGAAAAGTAACTAATTTGGCATATATCCACAACAGAATAGGTATATGTACACATGTACATAAGGGCCCTTAACCAGGTAAAAGTTGGATTTGGGAAGCTGCCTAGGAGTCACTACTTGCTGCTGTTAAGTGTCCAGGAGTCAGGCCATGGTGGGATGAGCTGTGGGGCTTGAGATTTTGTTAGCAGTGATGTCAAAGCAGAAAGAGGCTGTGAATAGTTAGAGTCACCTGCAGGATCTTGTGGATGGATATGAATTGGGGGAGGGTGACAATTTCTGCAGCCAATGGAGAAGAAACATGGGCAGCCTTCCAGGGGGGCTGTCACAGAAGAGGAGTGGGCAGAGCTAGCGCAGTGCTCGCAGAGGTAGGACAAAGGAGATGATCTTAATAGGACATGGTGACTGGACATGAAGGTGGAGGGAACACCGAGGAATCCTACTGATGCTTGACCGATGGTCTGGGTGACAATTACGTAGCCTGAGATGACTTTCTGAAGCCCCATGGGGGTTTCTGCTTGACCCCAAAGCCATTTCTTATTACTTTCAAGTGTGTAGAGTAACGGAACTAGACTAGTAAAGTGTTGCAGTTCTGCTTTAATGAGCAGAAAGGAATCATTTGTAATTAGCAGATACATAATTTGTACATAATGAGAGCTTCCAAAATCCTCGCGGGACTTGTTTGTCTTCCTAAGCATTTAAGTCACCCCCTCACCCCAA